CGTTATGTACGTTATTTTCCTCCGAAGTGTTGTGCATTTTAATAATGGGGCAGTAAGTCTGGCTTGGCTGGGCAAAATGCCTAATTACATACTTACATACATACATACATATGTATGTATGAATGTATGTATATGTGCGCACAAACGACGATAATTAACCCAGCTACCCAGTTGGCTTAGTGAGCATGCATAACACCGCATCTCAACCAATTGGTGTTATCAACGGCAACATACTTAGGTAAGTACAGTTATAGGTATGTATGTGTGTATTTGTACAATATAATTTTATGTTTGTCATGTTTACCACTAATTTTGCCTACATGTGAACATAAATATACGTTTCTTATATACATACATACATACATACATACAAATATATAGTATGTAGTATAAGCCGCAATGTTGATGTAATTGCAAGTGTTATACATATGTATGAGCAATTCCATAAAAAATCAACGTTAAGCTGATGTTAAAAGTTAGTTTAGGCTAACTCCATCCCTTGCAATGATACATGATTGAGTGCCACCGGTATATGTTGCAATCACCGTTACGTGAACATTCAATCCAACGGATACTTTTGATGTGATCCGGGTATGGATGGATATTCTCATGAAATAAACTGCTTCTCCGAGAGTAATGAGTCTCAAGGATTCCCGGGGTTATTGACAAAAATGGGATATGGAATATGAGCATGAAAAGTAATTTTTAGCAACAAAAGACCGGCTTAAAAAATGTATATCTATCTATATATTTCATGATCGGATCTAAACCAATTTAGTATGGGACCACCCCTGAGACACTACCTTTCCGTTCCGTAGTCCAAAGTTATGCGGTAATATACATTAAAAAAAAAATGTATTCCGACGAATTGATAACCTCCTCCTTTTTCGGAAGTCGGTTAAAAACAAATGCTGAATTCAAAAATGCAATTTTCATGATAACTCTCATAATTTCACGGTAAATGCAATCAGAAGTTGAAAATTTCGATTAAAAAAAAAAATAGGTACCGGACTGGCCTGTAGATGGGCTATAAGTTTTTGTTGTTTTTTTAAAAGGTATCCACCTGTTAAAAAATTTAATTGAAATTATTTAATAGTACTTTTGCGAAAGGTTTACTTCTAAACTACAGGTATTATAATTTAAGTGCACAAAAATAACAGGTTTTTT